GTGAAAATTGTTCCTGAGCTGATTTTAACATAGCGCGGGCCTATTTCTTTGAAAATTTATATTTTTAGAATGAAAAAATTAAAGTTAATTCCAGCCAGAATTGAGTAAACAATTATGTAATGCGAACCAATCAAAATCGAGGATTATCCGCACATTTTTTGTGCGGCAGCTAGGTTCAATTTTCAGAAATATCTGCAGTTTTTTTGTCATCATGATTTTGACACAACCATTCCACAAATCTTAAATTTAATTCGTAGCATATGTAAACAATATTTTATCAGTTATTAATGCTTTGATTGATGCTAAATCAATCCGTTATCAAAGATAAATCTGAATCATAAGAGCACAATAAATATTAAACGAAGCGAGTTTGATCTTATATTATAGTCATAACATTTATTTCGTCAAAGCGTATCCAGATAGCAGTATATAAGGCCTATTAACCAATACTATTTTGAAATTTATACAACCTAGTGATTAAAAATATCTGTAGTATCTAATAAACTATTCTTAAAATTTCTTTTAGTCTTTGTTTTTTGAGCTTGGTTCTTTGAGCTTGGGGAATCGGAAGCAGTAACTTGATCTATTTTTTTTCGCGGAGGAGAGGATTCACAACTATTTTGTAAATTTTGAAGCTGATTACCTAAATTTTCTTTATCCTCCATATATTGCTTTTTCTCTACAAACTCGATCATATCTCTAACAATCATCTGTAACCAAAATTAGTAGACTAAAGCAATTACAAATACAAGTGCTTATATAAAAAAGTACATACCTTTGCCTTCCATGTCAATATGATTACAGGAAGTACCTTTGAGCCGAATTGTGTTATTTGTGAAGAGATTTCCAACATTTTTGTTCGAAGCACTCGACATGTATAGCCAGCAGGGGAATCCAATCTGAGTAATAATATCATCAGACCTAAATTATATTCAGAGAAAAAATCAAATAACTCGCTAAACTAAACAATGTACGATGTAAAAAATTCTATTATCAAACCTACCCGCATGTATAAATCCAATTGATTGTAATTTTCTTATCTTGTTCTCTTCCATCCCAACAGCTACACACAGAGAATAAAACATATCTTTCATCATCTTCGGGGTCTTTATACCTCTTTCATACAGTAGTTTTGTTCTGTTATCTCTATTAAAAGATTTACCAGCCTCTGAACATCTGTACTCAGTAGAAACCTTTCGAATGATAAGATCTCCGCGCCTACCCATAATTTTTCTCTTCATTGAGACAATTGCAGATACAGTTCGATTACGATTTTTTCTATTCAAAGATGCCAAGCTAGATGACTCTGATCTGACGCAAAAAAAAGATGTGAACCACTTATCTTAAAGGAATGATTATAATATTATCTTTCTTACCTCGTGGCTTCCATTCCATCGATATTCCCAAATCCTCTGTCTATAAAACTCCAAATATGAATCAAGAACTACAATTCCAGATGATTTCTTTCTAAATTTCCCGCTTCATATTCACGTAACCTGTGGATTAAGATAGAAATTCATAAACTAAGAATAAAAAGAGATAATTTACTACTAGTCAGAACCTACAAATTGTACATAGTATTTCGAATCCAATTATGGTCAAAATGTGTTTGTCGATTGTATATAGAATCCCACTGCTGAGGTTTTAATATAGCATTTCTTAGGTCTGAGATATCAAACTATTTCAGAATGTACAAGTAAATAAACAATCATAATATTATCAACAAGATAAATAAAAAACCTACCACCTGAAAACTGTTAAGATATGTTAATAAGTCTTAGGGCATCAGTGGTATTGGCTTAATTTTATATGTTCGAATTTCATCAAGTTCAGACTCAGTGAAAACTTCTTCATCGACATAGATTTTATCATTTGAATCGATTACAAATGAATGACATAAACTTTGGAAGACACAAAATGCTAAGTGTCAAAGTAATATAACCAGAGCTTTTTCTAATATATAAAAGATGCTTACTGCTCATGCCTACATTTAATACCAAAATTGTAGAGTGCATCTTCTACAATTTTTCCAGTAGAAAGAGTCTATTTGTCTGAGTCATTCATTTTTGAATATTTTTTTTTGAATTCAGTCAAGTCTATATTCATCTTCAACTCACTACCATCTACAACAGTATCATTATTATCGGAACTGGCACAGGACGAAGATTCCGAACTATAAACATAGTCAGAGTCCGAATCGGATAAGTAATCTTCGGTTTCATCAGCTTCATGCATCTCCTTTACAAACTCGACGTGAAGTGGTGAATAGCTTCTTTGTCTTCTAATATTTTCATCATCACTTTCATTACCGTGATCTTGATTTGTTGGGAGAGCTGAGATCTAGATGTTGAGAAGAAAAAGTGAATTAATTGCGGATGATGTTTGTTGCAGAGTATACGTTGAAAATACGATGTCGTGCCTTTCCACTAGTTTCTGGAGGATATATTTGTTGTTCAGGTTTATTATTCTTGATTCTTTTCGATGGAAATTCATTTAGAGCTCCTTCCTTAACGTTGATTTTTCTGGTAAAGTTTTTAATTGTTTTGTATGCTGAAATTCGTCCCATAACTTCGTGAGTCAACTGTGAAGACAAGATCATCAAGTAGTTAGCCAGAATTAATTACAATATAACAATGACAAAAAAATCAAACGTACTCTGCCAAGTGAGGCTTCTACATTTAACCAATACAGCTCGCAACTGGTTGAATTTATCCACGACTGTCAGAAAAAACAAGCAAATTAATCAAGCTAGTATATTCGTTAACAGCTTATGTGGAATTTTTATTACCTCAAAAGAATCTAGCAAATACTTCGCCTTCCTGCGATTGAAACTATTCCTCTCTTTTGCAATTGATGTAAGTAGCTCTTGCAATTTTTTTTCAGCAATATTACGTGACTTATGTGAGTAGTTGAATTTTTCGTAGAAGTCCTCTGGTTTAAGGTCTTTGAGATGATTGCGTACCCAAGTTAGCATTATCATTTATAAGAACAAAAAATTATATATCTGATATCTGATATATCATACGTGAAATTTTTAAATAGTAACGATTGTTTTGATTTCACATAATACGTGTTACACCTGATCTTGCGATCTGATTGGTCGAACAGGTATTTTTTAAGCTTCTGTCCAAAAATTCTTAACCTTGTACTTTAACGCGTCTGCAGATTGTCAGTGTTCCGGTCTGAAAACGACTGGCGTATCAAGGGTGAACATCATTGAATGGTTGCGTAACGACGCTGCCACTTTAACGCTTCGTTGATAAAGATGGTTTTGGTTAGCATGGCTCACTTCTTTGCAATGGCCCGCCCTATTGTCACTACGTAATGACCTGATCTCATCTGTGGTGATATTTTTGTTGTGTTTCGACATTTGACTCTGTGTCGTAATCGATGTTCAAGGGTGGACTTAGGTCTATTATTGAGCAGTTGTGTGGCGACGTAATACATTCGTTGAAAAGATGGTGTGATCAGTAGGCTCACTTCTTTGCAATAGTCCGCTGTTCTGCCACCATACAACGACACTTCAGTTATGTCTTCAGCGTCTAGTCAAGCGAAGTCATTTTATTATTATCAAAAGTTTTGATACATATTGAAACCGGGCAACGCGGTGAGTTAGTCGCTCAATAATCCAAATACTTGTGTAACCTACAGTAGGCTTTACTGGAAAGAGGCGTGTTAGATTTAGGCGAGTTGGTTGGGTTCCGTAGGTAGGTATCTCTAATATCCAAGTAGTTTCTATTCTATCTTTTAACCTCAGCTATACCACACTACTTCGGGCAAGCTGGACAAATTAACCACAGT